GTTTTTTCAAAACTTTGAAACAATTAGATTGGAGAATTTTGAAATTTTTGTATAAATTGACTTTTGGAAAACTTTGATTTCTTGAAAACTTGAACTTTTTCTAATCAACTGAATTTTCAATGATTTTGTCAACTAAATGAGTTAATTATAAAATCGGACGCACCGTTATCAAAAAACTGAATTACCATTCTTGGCGCTTTTTGCCCCGTATCTCCTAAATGGCTAGACCTGCCTTTGCCAAAAACTAATCAGCAAGTCTCCTTACCAGTAGAAATCGAATGTTTTTTTTTAAATTTTCAAATCGGTTCAACCGTGTTCGCAAAGTCGTCGACGAAAATTTGTATCCGCACACGCACACACACACACATACATCCATTTTTTCTAAGGTGTGCCAAAATGTTCAGAAACCTCTGAAACGATATATAAAAAATTTCATTTTCGATTTTTTTGCTATTACTATAACTTGCCCTACGAGAAGTTAATAAAAAACTTGGTCGCATTTTGGTCTAGAAGTTCTGCAAAGGCAAAACGGCAAGCTCATAAAAAGATTTACACATATTTATGGTGACAAAGCCTTAAAAAAATGCAGCATCAAAATTGGATTGCCAAATTTCATTTAGATTTTTCAGTCAAAGATGAAAAACGCTCTAATCGTCCAGATAAACTTCATTAAAAAAGAATTGCCTACTTTCAAGTATTATCACCAGCTAGAATGATTCGTATCATATTATAATGGTAATTATGAAGTCTATATTGAAGAACTAATGAACTTAAACAATGCAGTTGAAAAAAATTGGCTTGAATTGTCAAATCAAGAGAAATAGTGATTAATTTGATTATTGACATCGCATATATCTTTGGCTACTTGTCAAAAAATTATTAGAGCTTGGATGAAATGTTTTGTTACGTCTAACATATCGTCCTGATATTTTACCATCGAATCATTATAAATCTCAATCTTTACATAAATCCTTGAATTAAAAAAAAAATCAATAATTATGATGATGTCAAATGGGAAGACCAGAAGTCATTGAGCAAAATAAACAATGCATTTCATGAAAAAAGATATTCAATTGCATGACAAAAATGTGCCTTATTTTATAACAAAAATCCGCACTTACTTAGCTGACAACCAAATACATAATTTTCACTAATTTCTAATTCCTAATAAATTTTCATTATATCATCATGTCAACGCTATCAACCTCACCTCAGAGGGGTAGTTACCTATTTTTTATTCCAATCAAGATAGTAGTACTGTATTCGAGGAGTTCTATAATTAAATACCACACAACACCATACCGTATGGAATGATGGAATGTATTTCATTCCACATGTATGTATAATATCTAGTAATAATGGATCAGAGACACGCGATATATGTTGTGTTCTCTATTCTCTATAATTTAGCATCACAGGAAGAATGTGCTCGCACCATGACTATAAGATGACCTCTAAAGCAAATTATTATCGTACATTACTATATTGAAATATGATATAAGCCACCTTAGAACGGTGACAAAGGTAAAAGATAAAAAAAAAATTATTTAATGTTCTGAAAATAATTGGTCGAGGAAAAAATGCATTATCTTTTCGGACAGATTTCTCGTAAACTATCAGTCTCAGATTTATGCTCGTTGGATAGGTGACATTTTGCAGTAAAAAAATCTTGGAATTAAATTCTTGAATAATCAATGAATTGCCAAAAATTTGCTGAAATTCCAATAATGGAATAGGAGCTGATATAAAAAAAATGAAAAGAAAAATGTTACTGGAACTAAATTATCTGAACTTTTTTTATTATTCCATTGACCTTGTAATCTGGTGCATTGACCATTTTCTGTTCATACATGGACACTTAATTAATTTAACTGAATTTAATTAATGTTATAAATTTTTAAGTCTATGTGAAAATGAGTTTCAAATAAAAATGCTGGAACTAGAAATAAATTTTCCAAATATTTCATTTATATTAATCGACTACTTAAAGATAACAAAAGATTTAAAAAAAATCCCTCTTTAGCTTACTCAATAAGTATCAATTTTGCAATAAGTATCAATTTATTAAAAAAAAAAATTACAATTTATTCTAAAAGTAGATTTATAATTTATTCTAGAAGAATCTATTTATAATTTATTCAAGAAGAATTTATTATAAAATGAAGATTTTAAAGTTATTCAAAATTAAACATTCATAATTTATTCAAAAATGAAGATCTATAATTTATTCAAAGAGAAGATTTATAATGTATTCGAAACAAATATTTTTTATTTATTCTAAAAAAAGTTATAGTTTATTCAAAAAGAGGTTTTATAATTTATTCCAAAAAGAGAAATAGTTTATTCAAATAGAAAATATATAATTTATTCAAAAAATATTTTTATTTTTTAAAAAAGAAGATTTATTATGTATTTAAAAAATGAGATTTATGATTTACAGAAAAATTAAGATTTCTAATTTATTCAAAAATGAAGATTTATAATTCATTCAAGAAGTAGATATATGATTTATTCAAAACACACTTTTATAATTTATTAAAAATTAGATATGAAAATTATTGAAAGAAAAGTTTTATAATTTATTCAAAAATAAAGATTTATGATTTATTCAAGGTGTAGATATATAATTTATTCAAAAAGAAGATTTATAATTTATTCCAGAAGAATATTTATAATTTATTTAAAATATTTATATGTTATTCATAAAGAAAATGTATGATTTATTCTATAATGAGGATTTTTAAGTTATTCAAAAATAAAGATTTATAATTTAGTCAAGGAGTCGATATAATTTATTCAAAAAAAATATTATTCAAAGATTTATAATTTATTAAAATAAAATATATTTTACATCTAAAGACTTATAATTCATCAAACACCGAAAGAAAAATTTGTAAGATAATAAAATTTTTCATTCGTAAGAAAAAAATTCGTGCTTCATAGAATGAAAAAATGCAACTTTTTAAGAAAGGTAAAGTTCGGGGAAAAGGATCATTGTATGTAGAGAAATATATTCTACTGTAGAAAAATTCATTCATTTTTCAATCTTTGTAGAAAGAAAAAATTCATCACTCAAACCAAAAAAAAAATTCATCGTTTAACCAAATACAAAATTCATCGTTTGTCTAAATTTATAATTTAATATATTGATTCGAATACAATATTTATAATCTAGACAATATTTTTTATTTATCAAAACCATAACACACAATGTATTGAAAATCATAATGGTGATTTATCACATGAGAAAATAATATTATCAACAATGTTTACCGCAAAGTTCAAATTGATAAAATGTATACAAATACAAAATAATATTGAATCAAAATGAATCTTTTGTATAAAATTATATGTAACAATTTAATTCTCAACAGGTCTTAGGTTCAAGAATTTATTAAGAATAAGATTCCAGACATGTAGGTTCATCAAGAGTTTCAAAACAACAAGAAAAATAAGAAAATAATCATCATTAATTTGAAAATAAAATCCTTTTTTAAAAAGTTTTAAATCTAAAGTCATTAGTTTGATGTTTATTAATTCCTTAATTATATATTCCGTTTGCTACTAATTATTATTACACCCTTAATATTTTATACCAAAATATGAATGTATTTTTATATCAATAAATCAATAAAAATATTTTGATATTAATCATAAAATAGTCTGAATTCCTTTATCGACCCAAATAGTAATGTCGATGGCAATTGTGTCATTGCCGTAATAAAAGTCAAAACTTTACCTTGGCAAAGTTGTAAAAGGTGGATTGTAAAATCTAATTGCACTCGATATAAAAATAACTCAATTACATCTTATTTTTGACCTATCAAACATATAAAATATAAACTATATACACTAATATACAGTAATATATTTTTGAATTTGCTTATAACATATCTATCAGAAGATAAAAATCACTGTAACAAAGGGTTGTAATGTCGTTGCTTTGGTTATGAAATTCCTTATGTAAAATAAAATAAATATTTTGTATAAAATAAATTTTACACAAAATGAAGAAAAGCGGGTTTAAAAGTTTATATTGTGATTTAATCCGTATTGTATTTATTTCGCCAATATGGTTATAAATGATTTAAAATTTCTTGATATGTTTTCAAATGTACTTGTTTAAGTCTTCAAGCCAGATAACTTTGTCCAAAAATTCAGTCCACTCTATACTATTAAATTTTATATTTTGCAAATGTTATTTCATATATACTTCAAAATTTTCTGTATGGATTTTTTACATTCTGATCTAGAGTAAAATATCCAAATTTTTACATAAAATCATACTTTGTGAGTGATTTATAATACGTATTTATATATATAATTTGCCCGGATTTTTATGAAACAAGATTACATTAATATGTTCATTGATAAATAAAAGTATTATCTAAAAATGTCATCAATTTTACATAATCTACTGATTCAAATTTAAAAGCACATTCAAATTTAATTTATTACATGTGTATAAAATTAATTCTTTATTTCAAAGCAGATATTTAAAATAAAAAAAAGTAAAACGGTAATCACAAAGTTTTATAAACAAAACTCGAATCTATTCTATCAATATCCAATCAATATTCAAACGGAGTTTTATTTAAGTATATCAGATTTATTGAGAAATTCCTATAAGTAAGAGTTGATAGTTCTACATGTAATATTTTAGATTTCTTTAGAACAAGAATTAAATAAATAATTCTAGATGTAAAATTTATATCAATGCCAAAATCAACAACTCTTCAAATTATCTTTAAATTGTATTATAATTGTAAAGTATTATATAAAGTGTCATCAAATTTATTACATAGGCTGTTGATTGAAAATCAGTAAAGCATTGAAATTTAATTTATTATATATTTATACAAAGAAATTTATATTCCCAAATTCTTTATCAATAGTCGAGCAGAATATTTCAATGAATCCAATTTGTCAAGATAGTTCCTTCGGCAAGAGTTGATTGTACCACTGATGTTCGTCATTCATATCTCTTTATTTAAATACTTCTACCTGTTTTAAAATTTCTATCAGTCTATCTAATCCCTAAATCTTGTTCGAGCCAAACAGTTCCTACAAAAAGTTCCTCATTTTAATAGAAATCCATTCCTAATATTCTTCGATGGATCAAACTTCCAAGCCCTAGAAATCAATTTCAAATTTTGAGATTCCCTTGAAGAATTATAAAGGATTATATGTGCAACTAATAGTACACACACTATATTGTTATTTACCAAACGATTTATGACAAAAGTCTAATAAAGGTTCCACGTTTAATAGAAATTCATGACAAATTTTCTTCGATCGATCAAACCTTCAAAAGCCTAAAGATCAATCTAAGGTTTTCTGAAGTATTTTGTATTATAAATGATTGTATATATTGTAATTTACTAAAGAACTTATTGTTTAGAAGATTCCAGGCAATAATCTTCCAAAGGTTCCAATGTTAGTGGAAGTCCATGCTCCAAACTAGCTTTGATCGATCAACACTTTCAATCCTAAAAAATTATCCTATTTTTTCTGAACTATTTCAAAAATCGGAAGTATTATATGTGCATCTTATATTATACTATATTATTTGCCAAGAGATTTATTGTTTGAAAGATTTGTGACAAGAATCTACAAATTGATCCAATTTCAATAGAAATCCATGCCAAATACGCTTCGATTAATAGCTCTAAATATTGATCCTATCTTTTCTGAACTACTTGAATAATAATGAAGTATTATATGTGCATCCTATACTAAATTGTTATTTGCCCAAAGTTTAATGATTTGGATGATTCGAGACAAGAATCTACCAAAGGTTCCAATTTTAGTAGAAATCCATGACAAATATGCTTCGATTGAAAGCCCTAAATATTGATCCCATCATTTTTGAACCACTTGAAAAATAATGAACTATTATATATGCATTTTATCTTATATATTGGCATTTGCCCAAGAAATTATTTCGAAAATTCGTGACAAGGTTCTTTCAAAGTGACAAGAATCTAAAAATCCATTCCAAATATGCTTCGAAGGCTCAAAAACTCCATAACCTTAAGATTTATCATATTCTTTCGGAACCACTAAGGTTGTAAATACCATCTTTATTATTTTTAATAATTAGTTTCTAAATGATTAAATATTGGGAAGACTTCTTGGAATTCAACTTCACCACAATGTAAGAATTTCAACCAGAATGGGCCCACATAGCACGCGTCGAACCGCGGTCGCACCGCTTTAGCCCATTTTGAACCCGCTTGGTTAACATCGATCAAAACTGGCACATTATTTGACCGTCAGTGGGTTTATCTGAAATTTGACCTTTCTGGTTCAACCAGGTTTAACCAAATAGGTTCATTTTTGGTCCAGTCTTATGACGCATGCGCGATAGATAGTGCGCATGCGCAGTAGCTAGTGCGCATACGTAGACGTGGATCGAGCAAGACGCCAGGTAGATGAGCGCCATTTTAAATTCGCGCTTGGCTTGGTTTATTTATACGTGATTTTGTTGATTTATTTTTCTAAAAGAAACTCCATATAAATATGTCGACTAGAAAGTTTCGCAAATCTATTGGCTTTGTGACAGACCGACATTTTAGAAGGAGGGTGAAGTGGGAATTCGAAAGAATAACCGCGGAAAAAAAGAAAGAATTGACTCTTTCCAGTGTAAATGATAGTGCTGTTCATCAAGTTGAAATTTCAACAAGTGTCAGTACTCAGGATGATTTTGGAATGCAATTTAATGATCATCACGATCAAGGTAATTATAAATTAAATTTTATCTAATTATTTAATAGTAAAAGATAATAGAAAAATATGTAAATAATTTAGTTTTAGCATGTAATCAGAATGATTTTGGAGCGACATCTTCTCATGAATATGAGAATCAAGGTAATTATGAATTTAATTATATATAATTATTTAATAATAATGATGTTTTAAAAATTAATATATATTTCAGGCTCTGATTCTGAGGAGAGCCTCAATGGAGAGGTTATACCAGAAGTCTTCGAAGTAAAGCAATTTTTAGCAGAATGGGCTGTTACATATCAGGTTCCTCATAATGCTGTATCGGCACTGCTTAAGGGTTTAAAAAAGCATGATTGTTTTAAAGATTTACCAGCAGACTCCCGGACAATTTTAAAGACGAGAAGGATAGCAGTATCGAAAGTTATGAACCCAGGAGAATATATTCATTTTGAATTGTTAACTGGTTTGATTTTTTTTTTCATGAAAATAAATATTATTTTAATCTAGAATTGCATTTTTAATGTATTAAATATTCATTTCAGATTTAATTCATTAAAAAAAATTTATTTACGTTCCATTTTTAACCCATTTGCCAAATTTGATCGAACGGTGTTCAACCCATTTACCAAATTTTTGACCTATTATCAAAATATTTTCAATGTGTGTGCCAAATTTTGACCCCCAATGGAACTTTTCTCAACCCATAATATATGCCAATAAGGTTGACCAATATCGCAACCGGGTTCGGACTTTAGGTTCATTTCTGTGCGAAGATTGACCTAAATACACGTATGTGGTGCGACCAAAGTTTAACCGATCGACCTAAAAGTCGAACCACAGGTCGCCCCTGACTCGCACTTGTGCTATGTGGGGGTAAATTTAAAGCTCTTCCTATTAGAGAAATCCTTGAACATCAATTTTCCTATATTTAATAGAATATTCGAATTTCCTTAATATATTTTCCTACAGCTTGAACAAATCAACTTGATAACTATCTCAACTAACTTGGTCACTAATCAACTGAGACCTGACCTATAAAAAAATAGAGACAATTTAAATGGGAATGAATAAAATTAAAATATAATGAAAAAATTGAAGATCATCGAAATGAGTTACTAAAACCAGTTGCAAGAAAACTGAATGAACCTTCTACAAGCCTTAAAAAAAATTTGGGAATAACAAAAAGAATCAATCACCGGAGTGCTTTACACACATTTTTTAAAAATAATACCAGCTTTCTTTAATCTTTTCGAAATAACCTATAACATTTTCATATGCTATTTCACAATACCAATTTTAAATAACAAATCAATATTACTAACAATTAATTATCAAGGCAACAAAATAAAGAATGACAATGTGCAACTTCTTCACTTTATTTTTAAAACATCATTATATATTGATACAAATATAACATTCAACATTTCATCACACTATTGAACAATTTCATTAACCTTACGGATGAACTTTGAGTGCAATTCTTAACAATTGCATTATTATTTGTTATTTTAATTAATGTTTTATTTATCTATCTTGACTTCTATACTAATGCACCTATCAATCTACTAAACTTGACACAATCAACATCAACATCAACATCACCTATGCATTAACTAATTAATGCAAAACAAACATTTGAAAAGAAGACAATGGAAAGCATTAAAATAATTGTAAATAGATTTAAACATTTATGAAAAGGAACAATCAGAATTTTAAAGCCAGAGAGAATAACAGCCAAGTGCAATGATCATCTGATTTGTATTTGTCGAAAAAAGTATATTTTAAAATATTGTGATAATTATGTAGGGTTGCTCAAATCGTACCACTGCCTAATTCGTACCTCTGAGGATATATTTTGTCTAATAATTATAACATATCATCATCTGGTAGAGTTAAATATAACTATTCATTTTATTAAGAATATTATTTCAAATCTGTAGGCTGGACGATTTTGTGAAAGAATTTTATTAAAGAAATAATTTAGAAATTTATTAGTTTTTGATCTAAAAATAATGCACGAGTTCAAATTCTCATGAGACTCAAAAAGAGTTAAATAATAAAAAAAAATTCACTATATTTGTATCATCTTTAATGAAATATCCAAAATTTGTCAAATATTATATCTCTCATCTAAATTGCATTTCATCGAAATTGCATGTTTTTACAAACAAAATCATATAAATTTTTTATAAAATTAGTTAATTACTCATGTAGTTTCATTGAATAATTGAAAATTTGTGTATTTACAGTCAAATAGTGTTTTCGAGGTCTTTTGTTGCAATAATTGAAAATTTTATTTAGATCATTTAAATTTTTTAGAATCTTTTGAGTATTTTACTGAATGTCTTTAATTATGTATGTATGATTCGTATTATATAATAAAATCAATTTTTTGGACTGCTTAAACTTACTCGAACAATATTTTATTGTGTATATATTTGTTATCGATAAGTACAGAGATATTCAGGTTAACTCGACGAAACAAAAAGTCAATTACTAAGTTAATACGATAAACAATTGTCTATGTGTAATATTGATAAATTAATATTGATTATTAATATAATCAGTTAAATTGCTTCTCACGCTGTCAAATAATATATACCAGTAAAGTATCTGAATTTTCTGTGTATAGTTTGCTATGAACAATAAACAAACAAAAAAATGCACATCGACAAAACATGAAAATATTAAGGAAATTATGACAAATTATAAAAGTTCAAATAGCAAAAAATTAGTATATCATTCACGGGGTTTAAATTTGTGTATTTACAGCAAAATATACATTTTTTTTAATTAAAATTAAAAATTTTATAAGTTATTCTGAAAATCTTTAAAATGAATTGAACTCCTGCAAGCAAAATAAGTCTTCAGGTTGTATTAGGTTAACAACAGATATTCGATGCAACAAAAAGTCAGTTAAAAATTGTTTTCGATTAAAATTTGTCTACAGAATAACTATAAAATCAATTAAATTGCAATCATATATTCTTCGGACAATATTTCATCGATGCATTGATGCAACAAAAGTTAGTCACTAAGTTCATATGATAAAAATGTATCTATGATATAAATGTATATATTAATATTGAACGAACGTAACATCATATAGTGAATAATCATAAAAAATTAAATTGAAAATAGACTAATCAAAAGTAAAGTAATTATATAGTATATAAATTTATATGATATATAAAATATGTGTGAAAAAAGTAGTAAATCATTCATGTTGTTTTATATATTTCATGAAACGTGTTTATGTAAAAATTATTAATAAAACAAATATTGCAGGATATATAAAAAAAAAAACTCAGAAATATCTAACCTCAAAAAGAACAAAAATATGTCAAATAAAATTAAAAAAATGTAAAGTTCCATATGTGTTAGCTTATTAGGTTAAAAACTAGTATAAGACCAACTTTGTGATCAAAATACTTGAAAGAAAGTTAAGTAGCAATTAAGAAATATCATAAAATAGAATCATCCTCAAATATATTTTTCAAATCTGAGAATCAATTAAAACAAAACCAAATCATCAAGTGTTTATAAATTATGTTAATCGATCATACACTTTCATCGAATAACTGAGAATTAGTATATTTATAGTTGAATATTACACCATGTTAAAATTTATTTGAATTCCTTGCAATCTTTAAAAATCCTTTATAAACTATAATGTTTATAGTTTGATTTAAATTTTGGGGTAAAAAAAAATCTTTCGATCTACTTCTGATTTATGTTGAACTCAATTTTATGTTACTCGATTTAATACAATGAAATCTAAAATGTAAAAAATTCGTCAAATATAAAATAAAATGAAAAAAAAATTGCTATGTGTATTAGCTATTAAAGTAAACAAAAAGAAACTGAACTCATAAACACAGTTAAATATTATTCTCATCATAAACAACTGTGTATTTAAGTTAGCTCGATAACAGTATCAAAAAATTATTTATTAAATTAACACTATAATAAAAATGGAATCAATAATTGTGAGATAATATTTTACAAAGCACTTAAAAAAAATATGTAGTTTCTTATTTAATAAATTTAATACAGGATCTTTCAATTAATATTTCATCGTGGGTAAAGTTCTGTTCAATATGAATGGAACAAATACTAAAGTTAACTCGAAACAACAAAAATCAGTTAATCCAAATTAAATAATGAAAATTTGTCTATGTAATATTGATTTCACTGAATTTGCCTTGATAATGAAATTTGATAAATAAATTCATTAATATTGAAGGGTATACAAAAAAGTAAAGCTAATCTAACATTGAACTGAAAATATTTTAAAAAAGTAGTAGAATTTGAACTAAGTTAAACGTAATATGTAGAATTTTAGGTTTATGTTTCTGTAGAATTCTAGTTTCTGAGGTCAAAAATGAGCGTGAAATTAAATTTATGACTAATTACTTTATCATTATGTTACTCGAGATAATACAAGGAATTTTTTTTTAATAAAAACATGTTAATAAATAAAAATTGATATTGCAAGATATAAGCAAAAATACCTAACCTCATATTGAATTGAAAATAAAATGAAGAAAAATAAATACTTAGAATGTTGTTATTAGCTTATGAGATAAAAACAAGAATAAACTGAATTTATGACAAAAATTGAGCTATCAATAACAATATGAAGAAATTAGATATTAATTCAACACAACATCAAGAATTTAATAAATAATCGTGAGAGAATAGCTCCTATAAGCTTAAGAATAATTTTTAGTTCCTTAAAAGCTCTTCGAACAGCATATGATATATTTATATTTATACTATTTTAATGTGGGTACAATTGTGTTCAATACATAGGAAACATGTATTCAGATCTCAACGCAACAAAAATTTATTTATTAAATTTGTTCAATAAAAATTTATCAATCAAATATTGATAAATTAACATTGAATAATCATAGGACGGTTTAAATTGCACATTGACTATATATATATATATATATATATATATATATATATATATATATAACACTAAAAAATCTAAAGACAAATGTCATTTTACAAAGCATAAGTATTTCCATTAACTTTTTGTGCAATATAGGATCTCTCGAACAAATTTCATCCTGGTTATGGTCATGTTCGATAAGCATTGAGCAAATAATGAAATTTGTAACATATGGTCAATCAAAAATTGTTTATGAAATAATGATAAATTTTAATTGTAGAGTATTTAACTTAAAAAATAACTAACCTCACTTTGAACTGAAAATATGTAAATTGAAATCTGTAAAATGCAAACTAAAATGTAAGAAAATTGTAGAATGCTATGTTTATACGACAACTAATCTTGTCATCGAAGGACTCAAAGAAAGTTAAATAGGAATCAGGTAATTTTATAAAGTAGACTAGATTTTATAACTTTGTATTTAGTTATGTATGAGAATGAGAAATTAAAATTTTTGCAAAACGAGAAATCTTATGAATAACCATGGTTCATATCCATTTAATGTTACTGAAGTTAATGATTAAAATTTGTCTAACAAATATAAAAAAAACCTTCAGAAATATCTAACCTCAAAATGAATTGAAAATGTTCAAAGTAAAATTTGTTTATTAGTTTCTGAGGTCAAAAATAAACAGAGACTAACTTTGTAAATAAAAGAAAATTATCCTCAATCATACTTCTCAAATCTTAGAATTAGTTAAAATATATCTTTACAGAAACAAAATCATATTGCGTTTACAAATCTAGTTCATCGAATAATCAAAAACTTGTGTTTCTACAGTCGAATGTAGTATCTTAAAAATTCAGAAGGATTCCCATATTGTGCTTTATTAAAATTTAATTGTAATCGTTAAAAATTTAGAAAATTTTAAAAATATCACAATAATTGTGCTTTTAATTATGTACAATTCCTATTATAGAATTAATATAACTTTACAAGCAATAAAGGATGTTTCGAACAAAGGTATACACAAAATTAGTTACGTATTCATATAGTTTTATCTAATTATTTAATGTCTGGTTAGTGTAACTATACCAAATTTTATTTTATAAGGAATTAGTGTTTCCATATTTAACAGAAATAAATTTTTTTTGAAGTTAATGGAAAGAAGTTATATGAAATTCTGACTACGTAAAGTAAACTTTTTGAAGAATCTTTGTATCTCGATATGTAGATAATTATATCTTTAATTAAATTTCATGTTACTCGAGTTAATATGATAAAAATATATTTGATGAAATTAATAAAATAAAATGATTAAATTAATAGTATAGGGTATGGGTAAAATGTAGAACAAAATAAATACATAGAATACTAGATTTATTTAAGTTAAAAAAATAATCTTATGAGCAATATTTCATTAGGGGTAGAGGCATGATTTTATTCGATTCATATGACATTCAGTTTTTAACTCAGTGTGATGTTACTCAAGTTAATACAATAAAAAATTGTCTATAAAATATTGATAATAATGATAATATTGTAGGATATATAAGAAAAAATTACCTGATCTCATATTGAAGTGAAAGAAGTAAAATAAAATTCATCAAATATGAAGTATAGAGTAATAAAAAAAAACGACAAATTGAAAGCCCCGATGTTAGATGGTATGCAGAAAATTTTATAAATTAGTCTCAAATCATTCTCAATCAAATTTCCCAAATTGTATATCCTTATAAATAGTATATCTTTACGAATACGGAAAAAAATCATTTTAAGTATTTATAAATTTAGTTGAAATCTCTCATGTATATTGATCGAATAAATGAAAACTTGTAAATTTACAGTCTATTTGTAAATTTTGAAGTGATTTTATGTAACAATATATTAAAATTTATTTTGAGAGAATATTTCACTAACAATAAGCTATGTAGAGCCTTTTTATGTAATGAATTTAAATCTTCGAAAAAAAAAAGATTAATAAAACAAATGTTGTAGAATATATGAAAAAAACCTCAGAAATACCTAACCTCAAAAAAAAATTAATGTTCAAAATAAAATTTGTCAAACGGAACAAAATAATAAATGCATAATGTTCATTCGTCTTTGAGGTCACAAATAAGCGTGAGACTAAATTTATGACCAAAAAGCTTCAAGTAAGTTAAATAATATTATCTCATAATAAACACATCCATGTTTTAACAACTGTCAAGTTGACGCCAACAAGACAACTGACAGTTTATGCACTAAACCAAATTATTTAACACAAAACAAAACATTGCGTGTGCATTGTTAATGAAGTTTTTTTATGCAACAGGATTTTGATTGGAATTCAATTAAATTGTTGATTATTATCAAAATTAGTTGGTTAACTCCTTGAGGATGGGGGGCCACTAATGCGATTAATATGTGTCAAAAAGAGAATGAAATTGATGTCCGCGCGTAAAAGACTACTACACAAATAAAGACGAACGAACGACTTGAAACCAAATCTATATTTAACCCGGCGAATGTGCACGTTTCTGTACAATCCCAGCTGTACGTCCCCACGGCCATTTTGAAGGCGCCGTCAAACTCTACGAATTTTATTCACTTATCCACAGGTGGTATATAAAATACATAACAAAATAATCTTTATCCTGTGTCCTATGTCCTTTACTACCTGGTGAAGGGCTGTGAGTCCGTCAACATTGGCTGTGTCGATGTCGGCCCCCTGGTCGAGCATTTTGAGCACCTCGTCCTTATCGCCGGCCGCGCACGCTGCCAAAAAGACGCAGCCGGAGGAGAATTTTATACGTCGGGAGTTGTGTTTGGGGACGGGGGGCTCCCTGTTCGTCTCGGATTCCTCCCATCGTTTCAGCTGCTCGGCCCTTTTGAACAGGGCCGAACTCGAACGGGCCTCGAGCGACATTTAAACGACACTAAAAACACTTAACAACGATACACCCCATACGATCGACGGTAATAGTTTCGTACACAGGTAAATGATAATGGTGATAAAAGGAGACACTTAACTTTTTGGGAGATGTTACCGATTAAAAACACACTCGGACTCGGACTGACTGAACTGATTGTGAGTGAGATGTTTCTTCGAGAGAGCAGAGAGACGACAGACGAGAGCGAGCGGAACTAGCGCACCAACAGCGCGCAACTCGCAACGCAACGTGACACGAATGACAGCAGACAGTTGACAGCTGACAGCTGACAGGTTGCGCAACTCGCACGAACTTCAAGCGATACGGCGAAGACATTTGACAGGCGGGAAAACGTTGTTGGTTTGAATGTTTGAAAACTAAAGATGTGCCTGCAAAGATGATTCAGATGATTCGGATCGGTAAAGAACTTGATTCGGATGAATACGAATAAATCCTATAAATCAGTTGACTATCTTAAACATTGATATTACTTTATTGCTGTGAGTTTGCCCAAATTTGCCATTATTTACATAAGCAAAAGTTACATCTAATTTACGTGTTCTGGTGTTTAATTAGAAGATGAACTAGTCATGTATGGCTAGTGGCATCGTGCCTTAAGGCAAATTGCTGGAACTTCCTGTATCAAAAATTAAATATTCGAGCAAAAATATTAATAATCATTAAATACTGATCAATTATTAATAACAATTGTTTTAAACATTTTTCAAAATATAATTATATTACTATATATTTAGTACTACTTATCAATTGCCATTATTCTTATTGAAGTAAAACTTCTTTAGGCGCGATATGGGTGTAAAAATTTTTAGGCGCGACACGGGTGTAAATCCGTACAAATGCAACGAAAATGCCAACGTGTAGTTGAACACTACGACGCCGTAAGCGCTGATGTCGCGAGTATCCACTCCCGTCATGTCATGCGTAAGTCGAGCGCTAAACCCTACATGAACTTGCATTAATTGAATCACGTTTTTTATGTTATGTCCTCATGGAATAAGACTTTTCTTAGAGAATAAATGTGTCATGGAATATAATAAATTTATACTGAATCTCGTTGAAGACAAAATAATATCTACTGCCACGGATATTTATGTAGGTTGCCATGCGACAGATCAACAATCATACATTCGTCAGCAGTTTCAAAAAAATCGGTTATTGATACCGCGGCTTTGCCGTATGAAATAATTTTAGTTCTGAATAAATTTTACATAATAACAACTAATATTGATGTAAGTGATGGCTTAGCTAATGGTTGTATGGGAAAATTAGTGTACATAGAACGTGGCGATAATGATGAACTTCTACGTTTATGGTTTGAATTTCCCGGTAAGATAGGTTACAAAATTAGGAAGAAAGCTTCACATCATATTCAAACTCTTAATATCAGTAGGACAGCTGTGCCGATGCTCAGGAGATCTTATTATTATTGATGTTATATGATTATTAAAAGATGATTTTTAAAATTCAAATATGATGTTTTTTTTATTTTTATCTTAATTGCCTACTCATACAATATTAAAAGTTTTACTTCAATCGCGTGTGATCCTTACGCGCACTCTTTTTTTTATTATTATTAATATTGTTATCCATGCCTATTTATCTATTGTCCATTAACCACGTGAGGATTTTAGGGGGGAGGGTTGAGTCTCGAATAACGTGTATTTATTCTTTACCTGAATTTAAAATATTTTTTTTTTTTAAATTACAATTTTTCTTGTAACTAAAAATGCACCACGTATCACTAAGCGGGGGGGGGGGGGTCTCTAAAAATCCTTAAAAACTCGATTACGTGATTAATGGACGCCCCCTTATTACTCAAAACATTTAAAAATGTTAACATTAAGAAAAGGTTCCGAATGAATCCATCTGAGGATATATTTCTTACGATCAGAATAACGCATTCGAAATATATACATTTTGAAACCGAATTGTAAATTTGGAATTCATATTTGATTTATAAAACTTTGAAACTTTGTATATTTTTGGAAACTTTTCTTGAATTATATAAGTGCGGAACTTTAAAAATGAACTCGTACGTGTGGTGCATGGCATTGTGCCTTAAGGCAAATTGCTGAAACTTTCCGTACTGTAATTAAAAATCTTGGTACGGAACCCAAAAAAATTTACACAAAATATGTACACATTATTAAAATCTCTGTAAAATATCCGATAATTTGATGTACATATGTCCAATAAACATTTTTGACCGCCAAATGACATTTTTTAAACTAATTTTATTGAGAAACCATAACCGCTAGACCTGCCTTTTCAAAAATTTAATAAGTTCTGCATTTTGTAAATACAAGTAAAATGTTTTTGAATTATTAAAATCGGACGCTTCGTTCTCTTAAAAACTGAATTATCGTTTTTGGCACTTTTTGCTTCGTATCTTAAAAACAACTAGACCTGCCTTTGCCTAAAGTTCAATAAATGTCTAAAAAAAAATATTATATTGAAAGATTGAAACTCTTTTCCCGAAACTCTCATTTTATATCATGAACAAATTCGCTACTAAGTTTTTTTTTCCAGCATGTCCCTTTAGTATACAATGTCCCTTTACTGCCGACTATTGTAAGTTTCTCAAATTTAATAAATATCCAACTGGACAGGTGTAAATAAAAAAAAATAAAAAAAAATTCGCTCTCGTAGTTGTATCTGTGAAGTGAAGTCCCTTTTCATTTACTAGATCAAAATTAAAGTTTCCTTTGTCAGTAGAGTCCCTTTTTTCCATTTTCTATATTCAGAATAAAGTTTGCTCGTGAGTAGAGTCTCTTTTTTATCTTCTAAACCAAGACTAAATTTTGCTGGTAGATTGTCATTTTTTTATATTCTAGATCAAAATTCAAGTTTGCTTGGCAGTGGAGTCTCTTTTTTCACATTCAAGATCAAAATTAATGTCTGCGTGTCAGTAAAATCCCCTTTTATCTTATAGTTAGCAATTTAAGTTTTTTAAGCTAAATTAGTTCAGTAAAGTCATTTTCATTTTATATTTTCTAGATTTATATTTAATTTGCTTGACAGTATTATAGTTTCCCTTACTTCATTTTCTAGATCTAAATTAAAGATCAACTTTCGGTTTAAAGTTTGCTGGTCGGTAAAGTCCTTTTTTTATCTTCCACATAAAAATTCAAGTTTTTTCGTCAGTAGAGGTTTCTTTTCCATTTTATAGTTTGCAATTTAATTTGCTCATCAGTAGATTTGTTTTAATTTCTAGTTTGCAACTTAACTTCTCGTCAGTAGAGTCCCTTTTTTCATCTTCTAGTTTATAATTTAATTTGCTTGTCAGTAGTAATTTTTATTTCTAGATCAAAATTGAAGTTTTATTCGTCAGTAGAATCCCTTTACATCTTCTAGATTCAAATTAAAGTTTGCTCGTCAGCAAAGTCTCTTTTTATCATATAGTTTTCGATTCAATTTTTTCGTCAGTAGAGTCCCTTTTTATAACCTAGATTAATATTAAAGTTCACATGATGGTAAAGTTCTTTTTCTTCTTACAGTATGCAATTTAATTATTTCAATTAACTTTGATAAATTACATTTTAAGTTTTTTTAACTGTTCAAAAGAAATTAGTTGGAAACCGTGCTGATAAGTTTTTGTAAAGATCAGCCAATCCATTTCTCGTAAATAATTCCCTTTGTCAATTTATTGTCAATTTCAGTGAGTGTTTTTTTTACTGAATTTTAATTGATATTTTCCTAACTTTATGATAAAGTATTAATTTTACTTACAAAAAAACAATTTATTTTATCAAGGCTTGTCCACCTCTCCTATTTTCCCATTGTACAAGTATTTCCCGATGCGCACAAACAGTAAATAGTTTACAAATGATTTGCATAAAGAGCAATTTTTGCAAAGAAATTGAGATTGAATATTAAAATCTGAAGATACAACAGTTTTTGTATATAGATACCATACAAATCTATGGGCAAAGCTGTAAAATTTTCCACTCTCTCAATTTTTTTAATCTCAATCAATTTGGTGGGCATGCCACATAATAATATAATTTAAAAATAATTCATCCGATTTTGATTCGTAATTAAAAATTAATGAAATAATAAAAAACACTTTCATAATGAAATCTTGAAACATCAATTGTGCCAATTCGATTTAAATAGAATCAGTTTCAGATTAGGTTGGAAAGACTATTAAGGGACATTTGTATGTGGCATGCTTTGCAGTGGATAAACTATTTCATATATTTTGTTAGCTACTTCTTTCACTTATGCACCACATTTGCAATTAGTATTCGTACTAAACATTTTGTACTAGAAATATTTTTATGTCGAAGCAGCGTTTGCCGAGTCATCTGGTATATATAGAAAATATTGTATTTGAAATATTCTAATGCCAGAATGTTCAGAAACCTCTGAAACGTAAACATATGCAAAAACGTTCAAATTCGATTTTTTTTGCTTTATTACTACAATTATTATTACAACATCTCTTAATATTTTTATTAAAATTCCACGACTGAATGAAATCTCACAACATATATTCAACATATCACAATTCAACAACTACACATCGACACAAATCATAAAATCATTTAAACATTTATCACAATTCTACAGAATCATTAATAATATTCCGATGGAGATCGTAGAGACTTCTGTAGACGTGTTTGGGTCTAAAAATTTATATTTTTTGGCAAGTAGCTCCGGATCTCGTTCGTGAATCAGAATTGCATTCCAGCCTGCATCTCGGGCTCCTTTGTAGTCTAAAAGACCGGTATCACCTATATGGAGAACCTAAAAGATAAAAGACTATAAATGATAAATATCTTATGAAAAATACTTGAATATTTTAATATAATCTTATATATAAAAGTGGATCGCAAAATGTGTTGGTAAGCGCATAACTCAACAACGCCTGGACCAATTTGGCCAATTCTTTTTTTAAAATGTTCGTTGAAGTCCAAGGATAGTTCTTATGGCGAGAAAATAATTGCCGGGAAAACCCTAAAAACAACCCTTTTCTTTTTCTCATACAAACATTTTCTAACTAAAACGTAGAATCAATTTGAACGTTATTGCTATTATATAAAGTTCATATTAAATTACAAACACTGACTGTATACTCCTCCTAAACGATTATTCGGATTTTGATAAATCTTTCTAAAGTTTGTTAAGGAAATTTTCTTGGATGTATGTAATTATAAAGTACTGATATGTATGTGCAATATTGTAAAAATAAATGGAAATAAATGAAAACTATCACCTGCCAGAAATTTCAATTTACTCATGAACCTAGACAATATTAGAATATGTATAATAAATTTATGATTATGAATAACAAAAATGAAATGTCTACATTATTATTGCCGAAAGGCAGCTGAGATGTGCCAGAAATTAAAATAATATAAAATACAGTGTATATGGAATTATACACATATGAACAAATATGACAAATTAATTCACTTAAAATATGAAATTAAGTATTAATCAGCGCCGGTCCTCCTTTAATGCGATGCATGCGAAAAATACGAGCGCACGTCTTAGGGGGCGCCAAGACAAGATTCGGATATGAAATTTTCAATATAGTTTTTTTTTTAATATATAATTTCTTTGCATCTTTTACTAATCTTTCCACAATATTTTTAAAATTCATAAAAATTTTACTTTATGACAACAAATGGTAAAGTAGAGATGAATACATACAATTCGGCCCTCACGATATCGATTAGGAAAAGTTTAAGATACAATTTTAGATATCTTAAATAATAAAAAATTAAATTAATTTAATCCAACATGAAGTACCAGTGTTATGTTATGGTTATGGTTATTATACCGTTTAAGAGACTTCAATTTCCAATATATAGTGTGGGAATTGAGACTCATCATTTTATTTAAAGCATTTCTACATTAATACCGCTCATATTATAAATGTATATGCATTTTGCCGTAAAGAGTAATTTAAAAAACAATAATTATTATTTTTAGCTAAACGGTAAATATTAGTATATTATATTAAAAAATTGTAGACATGGGTACAGGACAACGTCTGTCGGGTCATCTAGTTAATATTTAAATATATAAGAATTTAGTTA